CCTTTGACCAGTGGATCTGAGCATTGGCACTAGTGATGCCTAATGGCGGATGTTCAGAAGCCCCAGTGTCTTCTTGGTTTGAACTACAGAAAACCCAGGTGGGTTTCAAAGGCAGTCCCCTGAGCAGTCCTTTGAAGCTCCCATATCCTCAACCTGCAGGGTGCTCCCTGGAGTGGGGCCAGCTCAGCATGCCTTCTTGACGGGGGCCTGCTGCCATTGATGGAAGTTTCTGGTGGAGGACAAGATCCTGCTCAGGCCAGCAGCTAGAGTGCCAGGGACCCAGCACTGGGGGTTCATCCATGCCATGCACCAGCTCCACAGGGGACAGAGAGATACTTCTTTCTTCAAATAGGCTCCTGGTCTTGGGGGACTGACGGAAAGGGGTGCCGCAAAATAGTAATACCTGGTTCTTTTCAGTTCTTCCTGTGAGTTTGGAGCAGCCTTTGAGTCTGCAGGAGAAGAGGAGGAGGGTGAGGAGGGGGTCAGTGCTTCACAGGCGGCTGTCCAGGCAGTGGCCACGGAAGAGGCAGTGAGGCGCTACATCCGCTCCACACCAGCACTCTACCGCAAGGTCCTGCTGTACCAGCCCTTCGAGCTGGCGGAGCTGCAGGCAGAACTGAAGCAGCAGGGCATCCGCATGGCCACGAGGAAGCTGCTGGATTTCCTGGACGCCCACTGTATCACCTTCACCACCGCTACGGCCCGGAAGGAAAAGTTCGAGAGGAAGAGGCGGCAGCCCCCGGGCAAGAAGAAAAGAGGCAGAACTGACGGTCCTGTCCGCCGCTCCCCACCCATGCCCGTCAGCAGCCTGTGAAGGTCTGCGGCCCCTTCAGCCAGCCAGGCCTCCACAAACATTTCTGGGCCTTGGGACCATATCTGATCCCTCTGTGAAAATGATGACCAACGTGGATCAGCTTCCTTTCCACTCGTTTCCTGGGGTGGTATTCGGAGCGTGTCACCCATGGATTTAGGGCCCCTGGCCTCCTCCCTCTATCAGTGCCCATTATTTATCTCCCTTTAACCCTATTGGGCCAGTGTGTGTTTCAGAAGGGCCTCTGCCGGCTGGCCAGGTTGAGGCCTGACTTGGCACATCTTTTGCTCTCTATACCCATCAGCTGCAGTATGTCCATTCCTGAGATGGATACCCAAGTCCAGTCTGCCCTGTCCATCTTCCTTCTCAGCACTGGTTCTGTAATCCCAGCCTCCACCAGCAGACCAGGTGTCCACAGGCCTCCCACCCTGCCATGCCCCAGGTACTCTGCTGGCAACAACCATTCTGCCCAGACACCTGTATTGTCACCAGCAGTCTCCAAACTGGCCAGTGCAGAAGGGCCCAGCACGGCTCTGAAGTCCCCAGAACAAGCATGTTCTTTGTGACCTGGTTTGGCTGGTGTGTGTTAAAGCTGCCTCCAACCTCAGGAGCAGTGAGGCACAGGTAAGGCCTGGAAAAGAAGAGTTTGGGTCTCTGTATCCTTGTGAACGTCTTGTCTGTTTTAAATACAGTGTAGTCCATTTTATATGATGTGCAATAAAAACAAAAATGCTTTATGAAAACCTTCTAACTTCTCCACTCTAGAAAAATAAGGAGGGAAACTGCCATGAGCATCACCCACAGCTCCCTGCTGTCCCTGAAGCATGTCTGCAGGCGGCCTTTGAGCCTGTTCTTTATCTGAGGGGGTAACCCAGGCCTTCTGGCCCCTCATTTCGCTTCAGTTCTGTCCATACAGCCACATTAAGGGCCATTACCAGGTGCTGAGCTCCAGCCTTGATGCTCAAAGGAGGCCCAAGCTCAGTAGCCTCACCTGGACTTTGTCACAGATACAGGTTAAGGCCGCCAGACCCACTGAGTCAGAATCTACATCTTAATTGGATGAGTTTGTGAGGCCTGCCCTTGCCTGGTGCAGGGTCCTGGAAGGAAGGGGGACAAGTGGAGGAGACAGACTCGTCTGTCCTGTGCCCGGCATGAGCATCAGTGCTCAGGTGGCCTGAAGGGACAGCTTCCTAGAGGGGGGTTTGTGAGCTGGGTCTCAGACATGCAGCATCAGGGAGGTGAAACGGGGTTCCTTGAACACACATTGTGTCCTGGTTTGTGACCAGGTGGAGAGGAAGGACAGAGGCAGGCGATTAGAGGGACACCTGGGCTCAGGTCATACAGCTACTGGCAGATGCTGCTTTGATCAGATTCAAGATGGAGTCTGGCCTGTTTTAGAAGGAACCACCTGTTTCTTACATGAAGAGCCGGACCTCTCTCCCCTGTATAGACTGTTCTAGAGAAGTGAGGTGGAGTTAGGAAGGTAGGAGGCGACGAGATCCTTACTCAGCTTCACTGCTCCCTGATAGAGACCATGGACCTGGAGGTGCAGTTTTGGGTGAGCACCCCTGAGAGAGGCGCCAGGGAGCCCTCACTCCTGGGAAGGCATCCCAGACTCAGAGCGTTACCAACTCCAGGTTGATAAGGAGATGTCGGGGGAGAGATGAAAAGAGGTAAAACGCCCAAGGCCTTGTGACCCAACACCCTGGTCAGCTGGGTTTGTGTGGCGTGCCCCCCAGAAGCCAGCAGGGGTCAGGAGCTTGAACCTTTGTGCAAAGCAGAAACGGGGTTAAAAACCAGCCACTGTAATATAGAAACCTCCACAACCAGAGAACATTCGGCATCCAGGGAAAGAACCTTGACCCCTCCATAGAAACCAGACCGACTCAGGCCCGGGGAAATCGGGGCCAGCCGGTTTGGAAAGGGAAGCAGTGGCCACACCTGCCCTCTCCCAGCGCCTACAGCAGGGCTGGAGGAGCCAGACCAATGATGGGTCTTGTGGTGGACGGTGGTGCAGGGGTTCCCTTCAGAAGCTCTGCCCTGCCATGAAGAAAGCATACTGAGCCTGGAGCAGAACGTTCGCTGCTATGAAACTGCGACACCCACACTTCGCTGTGACGTGACGATCTCCTGGGCCTGTCCCACTTCCTGTGGCCCAGCCACGGCCAGGGCACCATCACGCAAGGCAATTAAAAGAGAACCACCAGGGTGGGAAGAGGTCAACCAAAGAACTTGTACATATATATACATGTGTAACCCATGGACACAGACAATAGGGTGGTGAAGGCTTAGGGCAGGGGCTGGGGGTGGAGGCAGGTTAGAAGTGGTCAATGGGGGAGGGGAGAAGGGTACATATATAATACTTTCAGGGTTGGGGGGAGGGGGTAAGAGATCAACCAAAGGACTTGTATGCATGCATATAAGCATAACCAATGGACACAAGACACTGGGCGGGTAGGAGAGGCTGGGGGGAAGGTCAAGGGGGGAAAAAAAGGAGACAAATGCACTACTCTTTGTAATATTTTAAGCAATTAAAAAAATGTAAATTAGCAAACAAAAAAAATAAAAAGAATCATAACATAAAAATAAGTAAAAGAACCACCAGCCCAGCCAGTGTGGCTTAATGGTTGAGCATCAACCCATGAACCAAGAAGTCCCCGGTTCGATTCCTACAGGCTCAGTCTCCCATGGGGGGCATGCAGGAGGCAGCCTATCGATATCTCTTTCTCATAAATGTTTCTATCTATCCCTCTCCCTTCCTCTTTAAAATCAATAAAAACATTTTTAAAAAAGAGAGCCCCGGCCAGTTTTCTCAGTGGTTAGAGCGTTGGCCTGCGAACTGAAGTGTCACGAGTTCCATTCCCTCCAGGTCAGGGGCATGTATCTAGGTTGCAGGTTTGCTCCCTGCCCCTGGCGGGGGTGGGTGCGGGAGTCACTGTGTAATGTGTCTCACATTGATGTTTCTCTTTCCCTCCCCTCCATTCTCTCTGAAAAAGCAATGGAACAGATATCCTCGGGTGAGAATGAACAAAAAATTTAAAAAGAGAACCACCACCCAGCTCTAGCAGGGCCAGGCAAGAGGGCCCCAGGGACCTGCACAACCCCAGCAAGGCCCCGCCCTTACGGGCAGGAAGTCTCAAGCCTTCACTGAGTTGGGAAGGGCCCAGGCTACTGCCTGTCGGCTAACCACAGCTCTGGGTGGACAGAAAGCCCCAGAGTGAGAACAACCAGGGAGACTCTGTCCCACACATACAAGCACCTCACGAGTCAGGAGAAAGCCCCCCCAGCTTCTCACAGAGGAGCCGGCAGGGGGAGCCCAGGGACCAGCCCTGTCTGGTGGAAGGAGCTGGAGAGGAAAGGTGTTGGCAGGGAAGTGCTGACTTCTGGACGTTCCCTGAGATCCCCGCGGAAGAGGCTGTCCCCTCGTGCTCAGGTCCCATCCACTCTGAGTTGTGAGAGGAGGAGCAGAGGGTGCCTCTCGGCCTCTTTTAGGTGACAGATACCTCCAGGCCCCTGCGGTTTCCAACATCCTGTGGGCGGCCTGGTTTCAGCCGCCTTCACTGCACCTCGAGGCTGAGTCTGCAGCCGCCAGTCTGCGCCCTGCCTGCCTGGAGCCTCAGCAGGCTTCCCCAGTGCAGCCCCATATGTCCCTCAGCCCCTGGCAAGTTTCTGGGTGTTCAGAAAGCACCGATGGGAGGGAGGGGGTACAGAAGGGTGCCATCATAAGGAGCACTTCTAATCTGCTGCCTCTGGGTCCTCCCTTCCCCTCTACCCCTCCCTTCTGTCACCCAGACACAGCTTTGGAGAAAGGCTAATACAAGCGCACACCTCCTCCACGTCCCCTTACGTACAGGCTGCTACATGCATCCAAACCCACTGCTCCTCTGCTCTACAACCATCACAGCTCCCACTTGCTTGCTGAGGGAAACCGGGGCCTCTATCACTTGTCTCCCACCTGTCACCGGCTTCTCTCGGCGGCTTGCTCCCTGTCACTGGAGGACGCCCTGTGCCTTTCCTCCATTGTAACTTTTCTTGTGTTTTTCACTCTGGATCAGGTCCTTCCCACTCAGGCCCACCTGTCAATCAGGACAGCCTACGTGCTGAGGTCCACTCCAGGCGTCTGAGTGAACTGCTGCATTCTGCTGTTTCAGGGCGGAGGTGACCTGCCTTGACTCACAGGAAGACCTTGTGGGGTACAGCTGAGTTGAGGTGCCTTTGGGTGCGAGAGAGAAGGAAAGCAAGAGGGTGAGAAAGGGTGTCAGGGCTACAGTGTATCATGCCGGCCTGGGAGGGAGAGGACAGGTCGAGCCCCAGAGAGGTCAGCTTCCCTCTGTGTGGCCTTGGGCAAGTCACTGAATGTCCTCACCACTCACCCGCTTTCCCTACCGCCCCCCAAAAGCAAAGGTCTGCTGATAGTGAGTTTGTTCTCCTTGGTGGCTTAGAGGGGACCACTGTCTCCTGAGCATCAGGTGCTGAGCAGGTGCTGGGTCCTGGAACGAAGACCCTGTTGGCACCCCTTCCTCTCTGACGCGTGGGGTGGTGACGAAGCCAGAGAGCCGGCAAGGCAGCTGTGGTTCATCGATTTGTCTGAGAGGCTGTTAGCTTTTGAAATCAGACAGGAAGGAGGGTTGAGGTGGAGCCGGCACAGGAAGAGGTGAAGAGCCTGGCTGCTGTGACAAACCGGTGGGCTCGGGGACTGCAGGAGCCAGTGGGCTGTGTCCCTTGCTGCCCCGAGCAGGGCTTTACTCCTTCCCCGGACGGATCCTGAAGGCTCAGGGCCCAGCCAACTGGCCACAGAGAGACCCAGCACATCCCCACCACTGCCCAGCTGTCCCCACTGGAGCAGGGCTAAGCCTGGGGGCACTGGGATGGAGCCGCCCCTGGCTCCTTAGTCTTGGCATCCCAGAGGCAGCAAGACCCAGGAGGTAAGTAGAAGCCAGGCTGCCTCAGTGCAAGATGTGGGAGGAAGTGGAGACCGCCAGCAGGAGGGGCCATGACTTTTGAGGCTGAGTTGCTCTGGGACAGGGTGGCTGGGGGAACTCCAAGGTGTCCCCATGGTGCCAGGAGCTGCAGGGTTCCTCCCAGTCCCCTGGTGGAGGCACATGCTTTCCCAAAGCCCAAGGGCTTACTCTTGACCATCACAGGCCATCCTATGGCCGACTTTCAGATGAGGGTACAGACTGGGTGTTCCCTCCTCTGTCCCAGGGGTGCTGGGACAAAAAGCTGTTTGGTCTCAAGTCAGGAGAGAGGGGCATCCAAGAAGCCGTGGCCTGAGATACGCAGCCCAGACAGGAGGTCAGCACTGCAGGCCCCTACAGTCACCCCATGCAGGTGGGCAATGCAGAGGCCACAGTTCACACACAGGCCAAGCAGACAGACAGGACTGAGGTCCCTGGGAGGAGAGCACAGGGCAAGATGAGACCCACTGGCAAAGTCAGTGAGTAAATTGGGACCTGAGTCTCCTCAGGGATAAGGCAGAAGCCCAGTTGTCAGCCTGAGCGACACCAACAACAGGAGCACAGGTCCTCAGCTGAGCCCGGCCCCATGGATGAAGCTCTGGGGGAATGTGTGGGAATGAGGACGCCCAGCTTCATGGAAGCGGCAGGAGTCCCAAAATTGTCTGTCTGGCCTTGCCCTGCATCCTCCAGCTCAGACCTTCTGCAGACTGAGGGCCTTGGCCTTGAAATCCCCAAAGGTGGCCTGAGGCCCACTTGCCCTCAGTCCTCCCTTCTTTAAGCTGCTGCTCTCGCTGGAGGCTGTGTGCTCTGTACAGGGTCTACCTGACTGCCACTGGCCCTCACCCCACTCAGAGGCCTGTGGTAGGTTCCACCCTGCAGGAGTGGCATCTGGGGCCAGGTAACTGTCCCACTGAGGGAGCCTCCTCATTAGCCTCTGATGCTCACCCTGAGAGGTCATGGTGGTGGGCTACTTCCTGGCCCACCTGCTGGAGTCTCCTCCCCTATCTTACCGAGACAAGGTGTCCAAAGGTAAAGGCCTGGCTGGGGAGAATGGGTCTTATCTGATTGGAGCCGTAGTAGGGGTGCCAGATAAAATACAGGACACCCTGTTAAATTTGAATGTCAGATAAACAATGAGGTTTATTTAAAAATATAGAAAGAGACTAATTAAAGAACTTATATGCATGTATACACAGCCCATGGACACAGACAATAGGGTGATGAAGGCCTGGAGTGAGGCAGGGGCTGGGTGGAGGGGAGAAGTGGGGGAAATAAGGGACATCTGTAATACTATCAACAATAAAAAATAAACTAAAAACAAAACAAAACATAAGGTGTCCCAAGTATTAGCTGGGACATACTTATGCTAAAAGAATAATCTGCTATTTATCTGAAATTCAAATTTCACTGGGTGTCCTGGATCTTGCTTTATTAAATCTGGCAACCAAGGCCCGAGGTCATCAAGACAAGAAAGATGGATGTCTGCTAAGGATGGAGTGTTGGCCCCAACACTGGGAGGCTAATGGGACCTCAGAGGAGGGGGAGCTTGCCCCTCCCACCTCCCAGACACTCACAGGCCCTGCCTTTTCCTCCCCCCTCACTCCTGCCTGCTGTTGCCCCTCCTTTGTCACTTTCTCAGACTCTCTCTGGTTCAGTGGTTCTCAACTCGGGCTGCTCATTAGAATCACCTGGGTAGCTTTAAACTATATCAGTGTTGGGGCTCTACCACAGACCAATTAAATCTCTGGGTGGTTGGGCTAAGCCAGGGGTGGGCAAACTTTTTGACTCGAGGGCCACAATGGGTTCTTAAACTGGACCGGAGGGCTGGAACAAAAGCATGGATGGAGTGTTTGTGTGAACTAATATAAATTCAAAGTAAACATCATTACATAAAAGGGTACGGTCTTTTTTTTTTTCAGTTTTATTCATTTCTAACAGGCCGGATCCGGCCCGCGGGCTGTAGTTTGCCCACGGCTGGGCTAAGCAGTGGTGTTTTAAAAATAGCACTCCATTAAAAAAAAGAAAAGAAAAAGAAAAAAAAGCTCATCTGATCCAGCAATTCCACTTCTGGGTATATGTACCCACAGACTTGAAAGCAGGGATTTGAACAGATATTTTTACACCCATGCATTATTCACAAGCTTCACAAAGTGGAAACAACCCAAGCGTCCATCAACAGATGGAATATTTTTTAGCCTTAAAAAGAAATGAAATTCCAATACATGTTACAACATAGATGAACCTGAAAAACATTATACCCAGTGAGAGAGGTCAGATGCAAAAGGACAAATACTGCCGTGGTCAGTGTATCTCAGTGGTTAGAGCGTCGTCCCCTATGCCTGGTCAAGGGCATATACCTCAGCTGCAGATTCCCCAGCTCCAGTAGGGGTACGTGAAGGAGGCAACTAATCCATGTGTCTCTCTCGTGTTGATGTCTCTCTCTCTCTCTCTCTCTCTCTCTCTCTCTCTCTCTCTCTCTCTCTCTCTCTCTCTCTTCCTCCCTCTTGCCCCCCTCCTTACTTTCCACTCACTCTAGTAATCAATGGAAAAAATATCCTCAATGAGGATTTAAGAAAGGAATAGAAAGGACAAATACTGTATTACTCTAATTATATGAGGGTCTAGAGTAATCAAATTCATGTAGAAAGTAGAATGGTAGGTGCCAGGGGCTGGGAAAGGGGGAATGAATGGGGAGTTAGTGTTTAATGAGCACAGGGCCTCCCTTATGCCCTGTTCAGTTAGAACTACCCCCAAGAGTAATCCCTATTTTGACTTCTATCATTTTAGATTGTTTGGGCCTGACTTTAAACCCCCCATAAATGGGATCACAGAGTATGTTCTCTTTGGTATCAGCCTTCTTCCACTCAACATGTCTGTGAGAGTCAGCCATATTTTTGAGTGTGTCAGTAATTCATTCTTTTTTTCTTTTTCTTTTTTTTTTTTAAATATATTTTTTATTGATTTTTTACAGAGAGGAAGGGAGAGAGATAGTTAGAAACATCGATGGGAGAGAAACATCGATCAGCTGCCTCCTGCACACCTCCCACTGGGGATGTGCCCGCAACCCAGGTACATGCCCTTGACCGGAATCGAACCTGGGACCTTTCAATCCGCAGGCCGACACTCTATCCACTGAGCCAAACCGGTTTCAGCAAGTTCATTCTTTTTCATTACTATGTAGGATTTGATTGTATGAACATACCAGAAAAATCCCATTCTATTGTTAGTGGGCATTGGTTGTTTCTACTTTTTTGGACATTATGAATAAAGCTACTATGAACATTATGGTGCTATGTTTGGTAGAGATAAACACTTGTTTCTGTGGGGTACATACTCAGAAGAGGAATTGCTAGGTCACAGAAATATGTATATTTAGCTTTATTACTACCAACATTTTTTATAAAGTGATTTTAATTTGCATTTCTTTGATGATTAGTAATATACTCCTTTGTGACATGTCTTCAAAATTTTAGCTCATTTTTTAATTGGGCTGCGTTTCTTACTGATTTTTAAAACGTGTTCGGGACATCTTCTAATCCATGGCTTGCTTTTTCCCCTTTAAAGACTGTCTTCTAATGAAAGATACTCCTAATTTTAATGCATCCCAATATATCATTCTTTCCTTTCATGGTTATTACTTTTTGTGTTCAATTTAGTCTTTACCTAGCCCAAGTTCATAAAGATATTCTCTTGTATTTTTTCTAAAGCCCTAATTGTGTTAGCATTTACATTTAGATCTTTGAGCCAGCTTGAATTAATTTTTGTGTATGGTGTGAGGTATGGGTCAAGGTTCACTTTTCCCATATGAATATCTTGTTAGCACAGTTTAATGCAAAACCATTCTTTCCCCCATTGAATTGGCAGTGGAGCCTTGTTGTAAATCAGGTGACCATATATGTATAGGTCTGCTTCTATTGCAATGACCTATTTGTCTGCTCTTATGCCAATACCTATAGCACTATCCTAAGTCTTGATATTGTTTAGTGTAAGTCTTCCAGATTTGTTCTTCTTTTTCAAAATTATTTTGGCTATTCCAGGGTCTTTTGCATTTACCTATATGTTTTAGAATTAGCTTGCCAATTTCCCCCTTCCCCTCCAAAACAGCCTTCTGGGATTTTTATTGGGATGTTATTCAATCTATAGATCAATCTGGAAAGAACTGACATATTAATATGGAGTCTTCCAATCCATGAACATGGTAAATCCCTCCTTTAGATCTTTAATTTCTTAGTATTGTTTTATAGTTTTCAGTGTGGAGGTCTTGCACAGTTTTTATATTTATTCCTATATATTTGATATTTAAGTGGTATTTTAAATTGTTACTTTTAATTTCATTGTTGCTAGTAAGTAAAAATATAACTGGCCTTTTTGTGTATTGATCTTGTGGCTCAGAGGTTGAGTGTTGATTTATGAATGAGAGGGTCACGGTTCAATTTCCTGTCAGGGCACATGCCTGGGTTACGGGCTTGATCCCCAGTAGGGGGCATGCAGGAGGCAGCCGATCAATGATTCTCTCTCATCACTGATGTTTCTCCCTCTCCCCTCCTCCAATAAAAATATATATTTAAAAATACATCATAAAACATCAAGGAAGCTCAATAATCTCAAAGTAAGATTAATTCAAAGAGGCCCACACTGAGATAAGTTATAATCAAACTTTCAAAAGAAAAAGATGAAGAGAGAATCTTGAAATCAGCAAGATAAAAGCAAATCATCATACAAATAGGTCCTCAATAAGATTGTCAGCAGACTTCTCATCAGAAACTTTGGAGGCCAGAAAATAGTAGGCTGATATATTTAAAGCACTCACAGCGAGAGTAGAGGGTTGGGGGCGGGGGGAACCTGCCAACTAAGATTCCCATATATCCAGGAAAAATGTCCTTTAAAAAGTAAAGGAGAAATTAAGACATTCTCAGACAAACAAAAGTAGAGGGCGTTCATGACTACTAGACCTGCCCTACAGGAAA